CATGTCTTCCTTTCCAAATCTATAGCCGAGGTATTCCTGGCAGCTGGGACACAGTTATCAGCTGAATGGACTCGTCGTGGTACCGCCAGAATGGTTCCCGAAATTGACTTTGTAGTCTCAGGTGTGCTGACAGCCGTCGCAGGCAAATACTACACAATGTGGCGTGTAGCTCCCACATTGGATGATGGCAGTGCTGCATCCGCAACTAACAAAGAGAAAAAAGATCAACCAGATAATCAAACTCGTCTGGGGAATATGATTGTTCCTACAAATGCGTTTCAAAAGACTCTGTCTGATGTTGTGACACGGCCACGTATCCAACAAAGATTGGGCTCCTTTATTGCCCCCATGCTACCCCTGTTTCGAGCCGGTATCATTGCCGGTACAATCGGATATGGCGTTACTGCCATTATGATTAGCTTGAGGACGATCTACTTGCCCAACTATGTTCCTGCCACTCAGAATATGAACGTATTACATGCCTGCTTGTTCACGGGAGGATTCATGGCCATTGTCAGCAACGTGCGATACCAAGTGCTGCAGGGGATTGTGGAACCCTCCATTGATCGATTGTTCCGAAACATACCGTCACTCCGAGGTATCCTGATTCTTGCCTGTCGGTGGGCCAACGGATTATTAGGATCCATTTTAGCCATCAGTGGCATGAGAGCATTGGGCTTGCAGCGGTTAAAATAAATGAACTGCTAATGAAACTCGACATGCGAACTTGAGAAAGAGGGCCAACTTTTCTAACGAGGCAACTTCTCGGAAACCCAGCCCTAGTCCATGTAGCACACGCTGAAAAGTGCCGGCCCAGGTGTTGGAATAGATACCTACAGGGCCCGGATTGGGGCATGGAGATGGACGACCAGGGGTATGTTCGCGAGCAGGACCTGGAGTTGGTCCGTTTGAGTCAACATTCGTGTTGGCAGAGGCACGGGCCAAGATTCACTCTCCGCAGCATACGACTTGTACCGGTAGGCAATGGCCGAAAAGACGGCGCAAGGGCACTCCTAGTAAGGTGCGAAGCCACGACAGAGTGAACCACGTCTGACTAAGCTAACGGTCTTACCCTTTACTTCGGATTCATTCACAATGACAAGATATCAATTAACTTGACAACAACAATGTCCCTCAGATTGGAGAACCGTCTATGCATATATCTACACGGAAATGAGAAACTGCCAAGTGGCAAAATGGATTGATTCCAAAGCGATCTTTTGCAGACGACGGGCTGGATCCAAACCACACCCACAATCATGAGGCTCAAAACGCTCTCGATGCCAGCAGCACCAAAAAATGGTGCACCAATGCTCACGTGGACCATGATGTTGATCTTGTTGCCGATCTTGGCATGCCCCATTTGGTGGTGGCTTTCAAGGTCGACAATGTGGGTTCCTACTACGAGCGGGTTGCCACAAGGTCCAATGCTCCGGTGGCAGAGGCACTCGCATTTGCCTCTTGGGGCATGCCTGACCTCGAAGTGGGAAGGTGGTACAATGGTTTTGCGGAGCAGCGGATTGCACATATCCCAAGTTGGAGGTGGTGACCAACGAGGAAAAATGAGTTGCATGCCAGCGTCCACAAAGCCTCTAGCATGCTTTCTGCGAACTCACGACGAAGTCATGGTAGAAAGGTGCAATAGGCCGACAGTGGCCAGGTTTGCGCACTTCAAACTGTTGAGGTCCTCTTCGGTTGGTTCCACCAGGCCGGGGAACGAACCAAGAAACATGGAGGTTGTGAATCTTCACACTTTTGGCATTCCATTACCACGGTTGGCGGATTTGCTCCGCCTGGACGGTGAGCCTCAACTGAAAGAAACATCCTGGAAGCGGCTGCATCCCGTCCGGGAAGAGTACGACGATTGGAGTCCCACTGACTGGACAACCCTAGCGTCTCTCCCAACACCACCAATAGAAGACGATTGGGCCGACTGGTTCAGGACGAATAACCCCGCCTACTCGGACAACTATGACGGACCCTATCCCCTACCTCTCTCGTATCCTTTGCCCCACGTGTACTTTTTTGCATAATGACACAGTAGAGCCTACATAATACCAAGAAAAGATGCACAGAGAGCAGTTTTATGCGCGCGTTATTGGTTCTTGCCGGTTTCTTGCGGCTCAATCCCAGGCCACAGCAGGAGATTGCTGTGCTAAAGGCTCTGGAACGGTGCATCTGCTACCCTTGGACCAAAGGAATCGTTTGGCTTGGGGCGAATCCCTGGGTTTAGCGCACAAACAAAAGACACCATTTGAGTTCATGACATCACTTTGTTGAAGTGCGTCGAAAAGTGAGCAGCGACAAAATGAAAAGAAACCAGAAACAGGGCATATGCTAACCTCCTCACCTTCAAGGCCCCACAATCGCTGACCACCAGTGCACTTTGGCTCGGGCCTTCACATCGGTCACGTCCTTGATGGCACCTGCTTGAACCGCAACTCGAATGTAGCAGGGATAAGGATACCCAATCATGTATGTGCAAGAGGAAGTCCCGAATGTCCATAAAAACACAAAGAGCAATAATCTTGATTTCCATGCTTAGGAAAGAAGCACTGATGTCTCCCTGTTCGTATCGATCTTCACGCCTTCCCAACACAAGCCACAAAAGTAGAGGACCCAACGCAGAAATATGACAGATCCCTAAAGCACGAGTGCAAGGAATTTTTCCATCCAAGTAGCGAACAATGCACATGGCCGAATAGCGTGCCGCAAAAATGGCGTATCCCTCAGCGGTGCCCATTCCAATGGCGAACCATTGAGGAAAGCACATCAAGGGAGCCCAAATAGATATCAAACGAGCTGTGAAGCTACCCGCTGTGGCACAAGTCTCCAACATCGGTGCGTGGTTTTGTACCACCCACCATTGGCTTTCCAGTGTCCAATAGAGTCGTTGAAAGAGGATGCTCATGGTGAGAAAGAGTGGTTACTATGCAGTTTGAGGGGACTATGGATGCTCAAGGTCCAACTTGAATGCCAAAGATGGCGCCCGTTGGTGCAGTGAGACGAGCAACTTTGTCTAGTTTTGGTCTCGCCTCCCTGTGCAGGATATCGTTTGGTCTTGGCCGCACACTAGATCGGCTATACCATCGCTGTTTTAGGGTTCTGCTTAGTCTAGCTTCTAAATCAAAGAACAGTGGAACAAGAGGCCTCTGGTGGCGCCAACCACGGAAATTGAAATGAGGGCTGTCAGTTGCTTGGCCAACTGGCATGGCCTTGCTTTACTACTAGCAAGCAGCACTGCTTCCAGCTAGAGCTATCCTGACTTCAGCCAGTTAGGATTAGCTTGCTTCCAAGCACCTCTCACAGCTAGTGATGTGGCTCCGTTGCAGTTCTCCGAGCTCATTCCCAGCCAATGATACCATAGCCCTAGCTAGCAGTTCTCCCAAAACTAGCTAGCTCCATCCCCAGTTCCCAGCTAGTGACTGCCCTAGCCGTCCTCTCTGATCTTCTCCAACTTCCATCATAAATACCCATGGCTCTGCTAAACTACCGTACCCTATCAAGCTAGAGCTACTAGTATCCGGACCTGGAACCATACTGTACCAAGCTAAAGCTACTATTACCCAGACCTGGAACGCTAAAGCTAATAGTACCCGGACCGGGAACCATACCTCACCACGCTAAACTCTCTCAGATCTTCTCCAACTTCCATCATAATATCCAGTTCCAGTCAAAGTACCATAGCTCTGCTAAAGTACCATACCTGGACCCGGAACCGTACCCTACCAAGCTAGAGCTACCTGTATCAGGACCTGGAACCGCACTGTACCTGTGAACTGGAACTTGAGGTGTGTGACATAGCTGGAAGAAATGCTAGTACCAAGAACCTGGAAGCTATCATACTGGTCTCGTAGTACCGTGGTTAGGTGGCACCTTACAGAAGGCAGCTCTGAAGGCTCAAACCTGTGGCAACCCATACCGGTACCCCTAACCCTAAAAACGTTAGGACGACGGACGAAAACTAAAACAAGATGCCTCCGGTGGCGCCAACTACGGAAACAGAAATTTATAGCAAAAAGGCATGACAGTGGATTGCGCAACCCTTCCAGCTACTGATATGGCTCCCTAGCAGTTTTCCTAGCTCCTCCCCCCCTCCTACTAGTTCCAGCCCCAGTCCTGGTTATACCTTCCTGCTGGCCTGAGCCCATCTAGTTAGCCTCATCTTCCCAGTCAGTGATATCTCTTATAGCATTTCTCCTGGGCAGCTCCTTCCCCAGTTTAATGCCCAGTTCCATCACAAATGCTCCTCCTCCTGCTGAGCCTCAGCTATGCAGTTAGCATTAGTGCTAAAGCTACCAAGCAACCCTCTTAACCAGTGGAGGAGTTGGGTCGGTATGAGGAGTGGAGTTGGGTTACATCTGGCCGGTACCGCATAATGGTGTAATCCGTGAGGTTTCCTCGCAACTTAATGATTGGGGGTTTCAAAGGGGGCTAGTTAAAACATTTTTTGGCAGGACTCCAGTATGAAAAAAACAGTGGCAGGACCAATTTTTCACTTGGGTATATGGAGGCTTTTGAGCAGGTTGGCACAGCACTGGTAAAGCACCTATAGAAGTGTACAAAGATTGAAGTAGCCATGACAAATATCACTTGATCAGATATGAAAAAGCTATGGGAAGAAAATGAGATGGGGGCGATCTATACCTAGTAATGATTTTTTCAACCGAAGGGGGGACAAACGATTATTGCCATCAGAGAACAGGGGTACAAACCAGCCTTCCCTCACAAGAAAATATGAAGCACCACCGAAGACACAGATGCTTTCTTGCTGGAGCACCACAAGACAGAAAGCTCAATGCTGGTTTTACACAAGGGTGACGTGATGGCGACCAGTTGCACCATAAGCAAAACTTCAGAGCCCACGTCCATCCTCATCTTTGTTCTTGCTTGTTGTTTGTTGTTGTTCCTTCTGCTGCTATCGGCTGGGCGCCAGAGAGAGCACAACTGGCTCAGCCACTTGAACTACTACTAGAGATGCACACTGAGCTGCACAATGCACAGCAATGCTTTCGTCACTGTGGTGCATGTTGCTCCCGTCGCCGCCGCTGCTGGAGCCTTGAATCTATTTGTCGTTGTCTTGGCTGATGAGAGTATGTTTTGGCTGAAAGTGGAGCGGAGACCAGTACTCCAGCTAGACCGGTGGCAGTGGATTGGCTAGCTGAATTCGAATGAGCGACTCAGTGGATCGGGCCGCACCACTCGGTATCAAGCCTCACTCTTGAAATCAGAGAGTCTCAGGTGCAGAAGTGAAAGCCATCCTCATTGAAATCATACAAGCTTGGGATAGTTTTCTTTTCTTGGCCCATGGCAGTCAAGTTGGTGGAATCTGAAGAGCAACAGTAAGTCTCCGCTTGTCTGCACTTCAGCAGCACAGAAAGCAAAACTTGTATCGATTTCTTGTTTTCTCTGTTGTACTGCCGATGGCTGATCGTTGTTGAATGACAGTCCTTTTCTAACAAACGCTACGGATAACCAGAGGTTAGTGTTGTCCGATTTCTATTTACGGAGGAGCAGCTCTGTTGACTCGCTCGAGCTCTATCTCAGACTGAGTAAAAAGGCAACAATCAACCAGATGAGGCTACACGGCAACTCACATGCACAGAGAAGAGTGGATCATTCTATTGAATTCTTCTTTCCTTGTTATTTCATAGTGTTTTGGTGGTGATTCCTGTGTCGGTCCCCATTTTCCTGCATTGCTGTTGGTATTGGTGGGCTTTGCAAGTTGGGAGGATATGTGGTCATGTATTTGTGGATCTAAAGCAATCAGAAGCAAGCAATTGCGGCCCGAATCCACAACAATAGATTCATAGATTGAGATTGGAATGGTTTTGTATTCCCTTTTTGGTTTCTGGTATGCTGCTGCTCAAATTGATCATTTATTTGGTGTTTTTGGTGTCTGTGTTATTGCTTTGCCTACTGGTACCCAAATATGGCTGTCTACTATATGTTAGCTTTGTGCAAAATACCAATCCATGCAGAGCATCGATACATTTATTGCCTAGCTCTAGACAGCCAGGGGTGGGGGTGTAAAATACTCGTTAGTTTAGCAAACTATGGCCACGGAGTGGCTTTTATGACGCGGGCAAGTGGTGGGGAAGCCCCCACCTAGCTGAGTCGTCATCTACTTATTTGCCCAATCAACATGACCTCATCCACTGATGGCCCAACGTGGAGCCAGCACCAAGTAGACAGATGCCCTGGGTAGGGGGTGAGCACATTGATAGGGAACCTGCAGCGCAAAAACCTGGGTTACAGGGGCTTACACAGGATTTTGTCGGTATTGAAACCAATTATCACCAAAGGGACCGTGAGGACCAGTTAGATTGCCAGACCAAAGAGTGCTCGCCAGTAAGTGTGTCTGGGTGATCAGGTCCCAAGCTGTGGCAAGGGCTTGGCATGCAAGGCAAGATGCCAGCAGAGCCCTGTAGGAGGTGGTACTCCTCAGGCTGGACCAGAGCAGGGTGTAACCATCCAATCTCTCGTCTTTTT